GGTAGGGGTGGGGGTGAAGCTTTGGTGAGTAAGGCCTTGACCCTCTTAAACAGGGTCTGGGTCCTCGAGCAAGGGTTCTGGGCTTCCTCAGGTTTGGCTCCCATGGAAGCTAGAGAGTCAGGACATTGAGGTTCAGATGCCTGGCAAGAGGTTTGACAACCAGCAACCATGTGGGAGGTTGTAAATTTGCCTTGTAAACTTGGGTCCCATGTAAAAATGAGGTCACAGAGTCCCTTGTGACCTAGCTGGATATGGTGGGCAGAGTGAGGGTCTCCCCCCCAAAAGCTCCACATTCTAATCCCTCTAAACCTGTGAGTGTGTTATGTTACATGAGAAAGGTGGGGTTAAGTTTGCAGATGGAATTTAGGTTACTAACCAGCTGATGGGGAGATGGACAGATCATTCTGGATCAACCAAATGGGTTCAATGCACTCTCATGGGTCCTTAAACAGGGAAGAGGGAGCCAGAACAGTTGGTGCTGGAGTGATACGATGTGAGAAAGGCTTCAAGGCCATTGCTTGCTTTGAGGATGGAGGAAGGAGCCACCCGCTATGGAATGTAGGTGACCTTTAGAAGCTGGAAAATGCCAGAAAACAGATTCTTCCCTGGAGGCTCCAGAAGGAGCCAGCCCTGCCAACAGCTTGATTTTAGCCCAGAGAGATCGATGTCAAGCTTCTCTGCCCTCCAATATAACACATTTGTGTTGTTTTAAGCCACTGGGTTTGGTGTTATTTGTTACAGCAGCCACAGGAAACCAGTACACTGTGCTTTACTGTCATGGCAACAGGAGACAAGAGCGAGAGAGAATGAGACAGCTCCGGAGCTTGGGGGAGAGAGACATAGTTGGTGACCAAAGAAGACAGGAATAGGTTTGGAGTCAGAAAGACCTGAGTTTGAATCTCATCTTGTACACTTGTTGCTGTGTGACTTGGGAGTACCTGCCTGCCTTCTCTGAGCTTCAGTTTCCCCATCTGGAAATTGGAAGTAATGATGAACTCTACCTGATAGTGTTGTCAGTAGGATCCAACAAGGGTCTTCATGGACTCGAAGTCACCACCATCCTAGTCACCGCTCCCCCACCCCCTTCCCAGACCAGCCATCAGAGCACCTGAGTCAGGCCCTGTCCCTGCTCTGCCCACAGCCCTCCCTCAGGGTAAAAGCCCAAGCCCTGCCCACAGAGCCCGGCACAACCTGCCCCTCTCCCCTCCCTCTGCTCACCTCCTCCCTCTCTCCCCCTTACTCACTCCGCTCCAGCCACATGGGCCTCCTCCCTGTCCCTCCAATACACCAGGCAGTCCTGCCCCAGGACCTTTGCACTGGCTGTTTCTTCTGCCCGGGATGCGGTTTCCCTAGACAGCCTCAAGGCTCTTTTCCTCACCACTCTTATATCTGTATTCAAATGTAACCTCCTTGAGGTCTTCTCTGACTGCCCTATTTAACATTTAAATTCTACCCTTTAGTATCTTTTTATTTTTTTATTTTTTTCCCTTTAGCATTTCTTATCCTCCTTCCCGCCTTCATTTTTCTCCATAACACCCTTGCTTTCCACGCTGCTATGTATCCATTCACTCACTTATGCTATTCATTGTTCTTTTCTCCCCGCTGGAATGTAGGGTCAATGAGAACAGACATTTTTTTCTTTCTTTCACTTATGTATCCCATGTCCAGAACTCAATCTGGCCCAGAGTATACTAGTAACACATTAAAGGGCTTAGCACAGAGCCCTGGCCAGTGTGGCTCAGTTGGTTAAGTGTCGTCCCATGCACCGAGAGGTTGCTGGTTCAATTCCCAGCCAGGGCACATTCGGGTAGTGGGCTCGATCCCCAGTAGGGGGCAGCCGAATGATGTTTCTCTCTCCTCTCCCTTCCTCTCTAAAATCAATAAAAACATTTTTTTTAGAACGGGGCTTAGCACAAAGCTAGGGTACATAGTGCTTGCTCAATAAATGTAAGCTGTTTTCCTTTGAGAGATCTCAGTGGAAACCCCCTTTATTTTGTAGGTGGGGAAACTGAGGCTTAGAAAGAGAAAAGCCTGTCTGGTGTCACACTGCATGTCAGTTGCAGAGCCTGATATGCAACCAAATCCCAGCCATAGTGTCATGGGGTATAAGAGTGCAGACAAGAAAATGGATGTTAACTGGCCCAATTAAATAAATTCAAAATGCTAGCACTTGATGCGAGCATGATGGTAGTAAAATTGGTAATGCCAACTCCTTGTTGGCGGCTGTGTATATTACATAACAATTTTTCTGGCCGCATGACCCTGAGATAGCAATATCCTTTGACCCACTCCTGGGAATTGATGCTAAGGACATAGTTCAAAGGAAGTAAAAAACAAAATAGCTAGCAAGGCTTGATCCCTTATTCGAGTGCGTGAAAAATCGTATCTGTAGGTGTCCATATGTATCAGGAAGCTACTGCTACATAATGAATTATCCGCCCCCCCCCC